TAAAAGTCACCTTCTACATGAGTCCATATCCCATTTCCCCATCCAAAGCAGCCAAGGATCTCTGCCCTTTGCCATAGAATTTGACCATCCAATGAAGAACACGCCCCACTGTGTTTACTGTCTGCTGAGTGTCAGGGAGCAACATGCAGGAAGACCCTATTTCCTTGTACTTGGCATCTACACACCAATGCAGATACTGAGTAAATGCGTTACTCATTAGCTAAGTCCTTACTGTATGATAGGCCCTAGGTTAGATGTCTTACTAAAATGATCCCCCCCCAAAAAAAAAATCCCTCCTTGGCAGATAAAACAGATTCAGAGGGGCTGAGCAGCCAGCCCAGGCCACACAGCTTATAAACATTGCTGTTAACACCAATTCTCTGTCACGCAAGGTTTTCCCTTGAGATTCGGCCTCAGGTCACTGTTGACCACCCCCACCCCCCACTCCCATCCCCCATCCTCCCCTCCATGCAGTCTCCAAGGAAACACCCCTGTCACACCTAACTAGAGCGGAGTGTGGAAAAACCTTTTGCTTGTTATGTAGTTATCAAGTTGGGATTTCCTTTATTTTCTGTTTTAGTGCTGGGGATGGAATCCAGGGTCTTTTTACAAGCGAGGTGAGCCTTCTACCACTGACTCACACTCCTAACCTAGTTGGGGGTGATTTTTCTTGGTTTTTGGTTTTTTTTGTTTTGTTTTGCTTTTTTTTTAAAAAAAAAAAAAAAAAAATAGGGTCTCATGTTGCCCTAGCTAGTCTCAAACTCAACAGATAGCTGAAGATGACATTAAACTCCCGACCCTCTTGCCTCTCTACCTCCCAAGTGCTGAGATTACAGGAATGTACCACCACGCCCTGCTCTGGTTTGGGATTTCTTTAAAAGGAACTTTTAATAAGAAACCAAAGAAAAGCCAAATATACACACATACCACACACATTTTTAGCACAACAGATAAGCAAGTTTGGGTCCTCCCTCTAAGCTGTTACTTCCTCATCTAAAACGGGTAATTGAGACTAAAAGGTCTGAAAGATGCTTGTCAATCTCCGTGTCCCGTGACTCCATGACTGGTTTCTCAGCTGGACAGTGGGATGGTGAATTCTGGGGACATGAACTTCAGGAGGGCTACAGGGTGACACAGTCAACTGACCAGCCCACTCTCTCCCTTCCCAGGAGCCTCCCTGAGCTCTAATCTGGGCCATTAGAGGACTTAGCCAACATAGCATCAGTGGGCTGCAGGCATTCAGGCCTAAAACCTGGGGTCTGGACCCCCACCTTTCTGCTCCAGAGGGGTTCTGTTACTTCATTTCAACTTAGTATGTTCCTTTCTCTGAGCCAAGCCTCCCACTCCCAGTCTCCCAGGCCCGGCTGGACCCTCTTTTCATCTCCAGTCCTACCAGTGAGACTTTCTGGAAAGCCCCATTCTGAGCAGCTCACATAAGATGGGACAAGAGAGGCTGTGGGTGGGTTCCTGCAGAGGCTTGGGGCTCTCAGCTGTAGCCTTTGGAGCCTCAGTCATTTCCCTTCCCCCGCCCACCCAGCTGGAGACCGTGAGGTTTCATCACAGCTAAGTTGTTGTCCTTATAAGGGAAGGCCCTTTGAGCCTCAGCAGCACACTCTGCCCGTGGCCTGCTGGTGAAGAGCCAGGCAGGGCCTTAGGACATCCTGCAGCTGTGGAAAATGGGGATGGTCCAAGCTCAAGTGTCTTAGGCTGAGCATCCACCTGAAGCACAGACCCTCTAGAGAACTAGAAGGAAGCCTTCAGTCGTGGGCCCAGGCTAGGCCCTGCCACAGGGTCAAATCCCCTGGTCTTAATAACTTTGGTCTCCTAGGCAGATTGCTTAATCCTCAATGTCATAGGCTGTCAAGTGGTGTAGACAATTATGTCTTTCTCATGAGGGTTCTGTGATGAGAAAAATTCAAGAGTGCTCTGTGAGACTTGAGTGTTGGGTTTATTAAGTACTCTGTAGTAGACGTAGCACACGACAGAGTTAGTACATATTACAAACAGGAGAAATAGAGGCATTCTGCCTTGAACTGGGGTGCAATTTGTCTTGATCCCTGTCTCCACCTCCTAAGCACTGGGATTACATGCCACCTGTCTCGGTTTTATTGGGTGCCAGGGATAGAACTGAAGTCTTCATTTGTGCTAGGCAAGTCTGTGTGGTTGAGCTTCATTGGCCCTGTTCCCCCGTTCCTGGGAGCTGAATCCAGGTAATATTCCGAATCTAAAATCCTTGTTTTTTTTTTTTTTTCTCCTTAGACTCTGTTTCCTCCAGAATCCTGTTTTTGTTGTTTGTTTTGGTTTTTCAAGATAGGGTTTCTCTGTGTAACAACCCTAGCTATCCTAGAACTTGCTCTGTAGACCAGGCTGGCCTCAAACTCACAGAGAGATCTGCCTGCCTCTGCCTTCCAAGTGCTGGAATCAAAGGTATTTGTTACCTGCCAGGCAGTACAGATCTCTGAGTTCGAGGACAGCCTGGTCTACAGAGTGAGTTCCTGGACAGCTAGAGCCACACAGAGAAACCCTGTCTCTATGAACAAACAAAAACAACAACAAAGGTATTTGTTTCCAACATGTTTGGCTAGAGTGAATTTTCTATAGTGTTTTCTTATGTTTATTGGGTTTTGTTATTTATTTATTTATTTATTTATTTATTTATTTATTTATTAGCCCAGTTAACTAGGCCTGAGACTTGAAGGCAAAAACAAACAAACAACAACAACAAAACTACAGTGGCCCCAGACACGCAGGGGGCTTCCAGGGCCTAAGCAAGAGTGGAAGTGGAGAGGAACACCCCTGCTCACCCAGGCCTCCTCTTGTTGCTGGGTTCTGTGCAAAAGCAACCAAGTCATGGTTTGCAGAACTACCCACAGGACTTCAGATGCCCAAGGTGACAGCAGTATGTGTTCAAAAGGAAGGCTCCCCCTTTCTGCACAGGCCTCCAGTCTCCGAGACCCGAAGGAAAGAAAGTTCTTACCACATCCTTCCTTAGCCCCCGGGGTTGGCCACCAGCACCATCCCAGTAAGCTAGTTCCTGGGTGAGAGTTAAACAGAGACTCCCGTCAGTAAGGAGACTCCTCTCAGACGAAGGGGGCCTATAAATGTGAAATGTCATCTGAGGTCTCCCGGCATCTGCAGACCCCTGACTCCATACAGCTGTCACATGTCAGGCTGGTGGCAGGGGAATTCACAAGGGTCATGGCCACAGTTCATACGTCTCAGGTCAGGTGCTTCCTGTTATGTTGGCCACAGGGCCTGTCCAGTAGAACCACAGAGGACGATGGGAGCCAATCTTTGGCAAGTGCAATGGTGCTTTCCCACACAAGGCGGGAGACCACTGCAATCTCCTTTTGTGGGTGAGGAATATGAGATTCGCCCTTAAGGCTTGAGAATCACAGGCAATTCCTGGGTAGGACTTACACCCCCTGACATCCTGACCTGGGATCTAGACACTCTTGTCAATGGAGCTATGATGGCAGGGGTCCAGTTTCACCCCCTAACCAGGCCCAAGCTCTGAGGATTAAACAGAACCACCATTTTGGAATCACTGTGGGTAAATACCTGTTCTTCAAGAATCATCAGTAGACACTGGAGGACCTTGCAATGAGGTCCACCATATTTTGCTTGGTCCTCCAAACCTCCCAGAGCAATTGTTAGTTACAAAAGCACAAAGTTGGTGGATCTCAAAGTTCCAGGACAACCAGGGCAAAACAGAGAAGCCCTGTCTGGGGGGTGAGGGAGCACGTGTGTGTGTGCTCTCACACACACACACACACACACACACACACACACACAATACACACATATATATATATATATATATATACACACACAATACATACATATATACACACACACAATACATATATATATATATACACAAATACATACATATACACACACACAATACATACACACACAATACATACATATATGCATATACATATATATATATATATATATATATATATATATATATATAGTCCCCAGACCCCCAAGTGGAAGGGTGTCTGCCTATAGTCCCAACATGTGGCTGGTGGAGGCAGGAGAATCAAGAATCCAGAGCATTCTCATTCATAACAAAATTAAGGACAACATGGGCTACTTGAAATAAAAAGAAAACAGAACGGCTGGAGAGGTGGCTCAGCAGTCAAGAGCACTGGCTGCTCTTCCAGAGGACCCAGGTTCAATACCCAGAATCCACATGGCAGCTCATAACTGTCTGGAACTCCAGTTCTAAAGGATCTGAACCCTGCCATAGACACACATGCAAGCAAAACACCAATGCACATAAAATAAATAAACCTTTAAAAGCAATAACAAAGTCAATGTTTATAAAAAAAAGAAAAGAAAAACATGCTCAGGAAATACTTCAAATTAAAGGAAACTAAAAAGAGAAATGACAAAGAGCCAGGCACAATGACACACACCTGTAACTCTACCACTCAGGGGGCTGAGGCAGAGGATTGCTGTATCCCAGAACTCCAGAGACAGAGGTAGGGAGAACTCTGTGAGTTTGAGGCCAGCCTGGTGCACAGAGTGAGCCAGGGCTACAGAGTGAGACCCTGTCTCAAAAGCAAGAAATAACAAAACCCAATAAACTATTATACTGACTTTAAATCTGCTGTGGTTATCACTGTATGTTCCCAAAACATCTGTCTATCTATCTTGATGTTTTTGAGACACAGTTTCTCTGTGCAACAGTTCTAGTTGTCCCCGAACTCACTCTGTAGACCAGGCTGGCCTCGAACTCACAGAGATCCATCTGCCTCTGCCTCCCAAGGGCTGGGATTAAAGGCATGAGCCACCACCACCTCTGTGCCAGGTTGACTTTTTTTTTAAAGTACACATTTAAGTGTTTAAAAGCATGAAAACTACCTTTCCAGAACTGAGTTTGGGAGGTTGGTATTGCCACTGACCAATTGCCACAAGCCCCTTGTTTCCTGGGGGCTGGCCTCAGTACTAGCTCCCATACCAACATTCAGGCTTGGGGCAGAGACTTCCATAAAATGAGATTTATTGCCAAATTTCAAGAAAGATGGTTCATAAGCAGAAGACACTGGTTGCCTCCTTCCGTGGTGACAGTCCCCATCCCCAACCCACCACTCCAGCATGGGAACCAATGGCATGTGGCCATTAAGGTAGTAGTCCCAACACTACTTACTTTCCCAATTAGTCACTTGACAGCACAGGCTGGGGCTCTAATTCCTGGAAGCAGGTGACTTGGCAGAAACCCAGCAGCCCTTGCTGCTGAAGAGGACGATTGTTCCCAAGGGAAGATGGCAGAGGATCAGAACAGGACACCTGAAGACATTCTTGCTCTTGAGGTGGAGGGGAAGGCAGGCTGGCATAAGAGCCCAAGGAGTGTGTGGTTTGAGGCTGACAGTGGGAGGCTCACCAGCCAGACATTGCTGTTTACTCTGCCACTGCCTACTACCCACAGCAAGAAAGTGACAGTACAGTAATGAAGGCATCCACCTGCCCTGGCTGGCAGGCCTTGGTGGGCACAACTGGCGGCAAGAAGCAGGGTGAGTGGAAAGGCCATTGGCTGCTGTGGCCCTCCCTTCTCTTCCAGTAAACAAAAGTGCACATGCAAATCCTATGTGAGGGCTCCTCCCCCAGTGCCCCAGCCCAGGCTCCAGCCTCAGTCCTGCTGGCTGCTGAAGAGGGTTGGAGACTCTAGGGGAGCCCCCAGAGCCAGAGGCAATGGGGTAGGGAGGAGGGAAGGGGAAGGAAGAAACTGCTCTTCTCATTAGGATACTAAGGAGGGGCAGCCCACCAGGGGCCTGATAGGTGGGTTGTAGCCACAGACTCCAGCATGTGAAGGGGAGGGGGTGGATATCAGAGCTGTCTCAGCTGAGGAAGAACCATAGAGACCCAGATAAATCCCATCTGGGAGGCACAGAAGGTGGGGGTGGGAGCAGAGGCCTCTAAAGGTTGATTAATGATAATTACACACAGGTTTTCCAGATGGTAACACAGGCCACTCTATGTGAGGGTTTGCATCTTCAGGAATGTGCAAGGCTGGACAGAAGCTAGCCCAGGAGCAGAGACTGCACCAGGAAGCCAGGGTTCCTCTTCTGTCCTGAAAGCCTTGAGATCTGACCATCTAATCACAGCTCTCCAAAGGGGAAGGGACACTGCGGAAAAGATCCGTGGTTTCCAGAACGCACAATGCACAGAGCAAATGGCTTCTTCACCCAGGCGCCTGCCCATCTTTAGGCTCCAGCTAAGGGCCAGATTTCACTTAGCTGACAGATGAGCCTATAGCCTGGACCTAAGGCCCCTAGAGCTGCTCATAAGTGGGTGTGGCTGGTTGGAAGCTGCCTGATGACCAGGAGATGGGAGCCTCAGGCAGCTCAGCTGTGCTCTCCACAGAAGTCAGGAATGTAAACTATTGGGGGTGAGGACAGAGATGATGACATCCCAGAAACTCCAAGCACAGTGCCAAAGCCCTGAGGCAGTTTGCAATAACCACATAGACCACAGGAGTGTGTGATCCACCCCAAGCCCAGAGCCTAGAAAAGAGGCCAGAACAGGAGACAGACAGGTAGCCCCAGGTAATACCTGGCACCACTAGCCAGGGTAAGGTAGAAAGGACATCAGGAGCTTCAAATCCTGGCCAAACTTGATGTCCCCAATGGTGCAAAGGCTGGGCAGTGCCTTGGGGATGCTGAGTTTGTGCCTTGGGCTTGGCAGGCCTAGGGTGCACTTCTCCTGTAGAGGGTCACCAGCTCCTTCCGTTTCTGCACTAGCCCAGGCGTTTCTTGGTTCAGCTCTCCCAAATCCCTCATTTCCTGCAGAACCTGGGTGGCCTGCCTCAGCTGCTCCACAGCCTGGCTGAGCAACGACTCGGCACACACAGGTTGTGGTTCGCTGCTCAGCACCTGGTTCAACAGTTGCTCTGTCTGTTTCGAGGCCACCTTCACTTCCAGCTGGGCCCGATACAACTTTTCCTTGGGCAGCTTTGGATGCTGAGGCCCATCTCTGAGTAGGTCCCCCAGGGAAGAGGAGCGGGGATGAAACTGGGATGGCAAGTCCCAGAAGGGCAGTGCTGGGGGTGCTGTTGCACCCTCTGGGGCAGTTCCAGGGGTGCCCATGGCCTGGGATGGCACGGCAGACTCGGGACTGTCATCCATGCCATTCACAGAGACCTGTGTTGGGCCTGGGGCAGTGGTCTCAGGGGCCTCAGAACTCTGGGATAGACTGGAAGCATCCACTCCACCCATACAGGCCTTCATCTTCTCTGATAGGATCTTAGGAGGTGGCACAGGGGGCTTTTTGCTCTCCCTGGGGGCAGCCTCTGGAGTCTCTGAAGAGGGCACCTTGGGCAGCTGTGAACTCTCAAGAGCAGCAGACTCCTCTGGGCTGGGGTTCTCCCAGCTCACCTTCAGTCTCTCAAACCATGTACTGTTAGGGTGCCTCTTAAAGTCACTGTCCCCCTCTGCTGGGGTCTCTGCATCCTCTTGACTCTCAGGTTTGGCCTCAGGGCTTGCTGAGACAGGAGTTGGGCCTCTCTCTCCTGCAGGAGTCTCCATGCTGTCATCAGTGCTGCAAGTCTCTGGTACTGGGGAAGGCTTGACAGGAGGCATGAGAACCCGAGGTGGCTCCTGGGGCTGGGTCTCACTGACATCATTGACAGGAGCAAACACTGGTGGTCCACTGTCTGGGACATCGAGGTCCAGGCGCAAAAGCCCATCAGAAGCCGCACTGGCTACCTGGTGTGAGGATGGTATCCAGGTGTCATCTTGGATGACCACTGGGCCAAATATAGGTTCCCCCAAATTGCCTACTTCCCCTACTTCTGCTTGCCTAGACAGGTCTACCCAGCCTTTCAGCCCTTGACTTGGCCTGATGCTGGGACCTTCCTCACAGTGTGGGGACCAGCTTCCAGGGAGCTTCAGAGGCCATGAAGCAGGGATGAATAGGAAGCCTCTTCCAAGGTCCCTCAGATGGTGTGGGGATGGGGTGGAGGGAGTCCAGACTGGGATTCTCACACCCTTTTACATTCACCACATGGTCTGGCCAACACTTGGGACCACTACTGAGGCCAGTCCCTCCCTAAATTCTCACAGAGTCTCTTCTCCAAGGCTGGATGCAACCCGCCTTACACCCTCCCCTTAGCTGGCCCTTTCTCTCCTCTCTCTCAGCTGACAGATAAGAACAGGCTACCTCATCATATCAACAACAAACCTACCAAGGACCCTGTGTCCTTCCTGCCTATGGTCCCCTTTTGGGGACCCCTGAAGCTCTGTACCCCACAGTGGCCCTAAACTGACTCCTTCTCTTTGAAAATATGCTGCAACTGTGCTTTCTCCTCAGTTGCCCCTTGCTGCCAGGTACAGGTAACTTGATGCCCCCAAGTCCTGAATCCAGGTCCACCAGCTTCTGCTAGCATTTCTTGACCACCTCTGTCCTGGCCACCAGCCCTCTCCTTTCAAAAAGCCTTCTCAAGCTGGGCAGTGCTGATGCTAGCCTTTACTTTAATCCCAGCACTTGGGAGGCAGAGACAGGTGGATCTCTGTGAGTTCAAGACCACCCTGGTTTACAAAGTGAGTTCCAGGACAGCCTCTAAAGCTACACAGAGAAACCCTGTCTCAAGAAGAGAAAAAAAAAAAGCCTTCTCTTCTGCCATGGCCACTGCTGGCAACCCTTAAATGTCTTATTTGCTGAGGACTTTTCCTGGCCTTGATAAGTCTCTCCCTGTCAGTTCTACGGATCTTTTAGAGGCTACTCCTTAGCGCTTCCCCCTTTCCATACCTTCTCCCAAACTGCCTGTACCTGGGCCTGTGACATCTCTTGCTTCCCACTGTGTATTATCAGTCCCTTTCTCTTCCTCTTCAATCCCTGACAAAGCTTGGAATCCCTCTCCCTTCATTTCCCCCTCCTTTCAACCCAAATCCACCCTACTAAGGACCTCAAACTGATCTCTGGGACATCTCTTCAACCATATCACCAACTCCTGCATTCTAGGCCTCTGTAATTCCTCCCCCTTCATCCCCAGCCTAATCCCCAAGCCAACTGAGCCCCTCAGCACACCCTAAATTGTTAGGCCTGGTGCCTCAGCTCAGACCAATTCCTCCAACAAGAGTCCCTCTCACTCTCACGTAGCAACTAAACCCATGCTATTGGATTTTAAGGTATTGTCAGCTTAAAACACAGCTACTCCTCCATGGTCCTGCACCAAACTCCTAGAGTGGTTCTACTACCAGAACTAGTCACAGCTAATAGGAATAGGCCTACTTTCTTGCTACAAATGATCGCTAAGTCACAGGTCCTAGCTTCCTGAGCCTGTTTCCTCTGTCCAAGGTCACTGTGTGAACCATAACTGAAAAAAGGGCCCAGGCCTCTCTGTTGTCCTTCCTAAACACATACCACTTAGCAAGCCCCAAGTCCAGGTTAGTCCTGAGCACTGATTGCCACCCCAAGGACCTGGAATCCCAGGCTCATCTGACCTCCATTATTCAAACCGAGGGGAAGAAGGCCTTACCTCCTTTAAGTGGATTCTCGTTGGTGGCCGGCGCCGCTGGCCCCCACGTACCCGGTTCCGTGTCACATGCTCGAGGGCGCAGGTCTTGTCTACTTTTACCTGGGAAGGAGTTAGAAGCAGTTGAGTCCCTGCCAGGTTTGGGGAAGATTGGAAACACTCACTGCCCAGACTCGAGAGTCAGGATCTGCACTCAGCAGGGCCAGTGCCCCCCCCCCCAGTGTCTCCCTACTATGAACCTCTGCTTCTCTGAGTCTACCCTGTCCCAGGTGTTCCTTCTCATTCTCAGCAGCAATCCTCTTCAGCTCAGTGTACAACAGATACCTAGGCAGCCCTGAAACTGCTTCGCAGCTCAGCTGGGGCAGGAGGGGGAATGCCAGATCACCACCCCCTGGCATCTAGCATGCATTAAAATATTGCCCTGACCTCTGTTACTCTCCTAACCCGTGCCCGGGCCAGCAAAGGGCAGGGCCTCTATGGCTGGGCCGACTGTGTGGAGAGGGTAACCTCTCTTCCGAGTCAGGAAAGGTGGGCACATCACATGGGAGGTCTGGATTCTGAATGCCAGAACTGCCTGTTCCTTATTCTGCTGAAGACCAGAGGGAACCTGCCAAAACTGCCAGTGACCTGTGAGGCCATGGCTTCTGTGGCCACTTTACCATCCATGAGGTGACTCGCCATCCCTGCTCCCATACAGGAACATTTTCCCATATAGTGAAAGGCTGAGCATGACACAGTGACATGGGTGAACACACAGATCTCACAGGCTGGGATGTAGCAAGGAGGCTTCTCTCAAAATCTTGTCTTCTGCCATCCATGTTGTTTTTCAAAAACATTTTAGCCCAAAAAGCTAAGGACCCATGACATCAAAGGTAGATCCTTCCTAGGAGACCCTGACCCCATGGGCCATCTTGACCATTCATTCCAAGTCTGACTTTTTTTTTTTTTTTTTTTTTTTAATCCGAGACAGGGTTTCTCTGTGTAGTCCTGGCTGTCCTAGAACTAGCTCTGTAGACCAGGCTGGCCTTGCACTCACGGAGATCTACACCCACCACCCAGCACAAGCCGGACTTTCAAAACCGGCTATTACCATAGCCACCACTACAGCGAGGGGCCTCAGGAATGGAAGGCCATTGAAGACAAACAGAGAAACCCTGCCGGGCCTAGGCTCATGGGCTGGGCAGTGGTGGTGCATGCCTTTAATCCCAGTACTTGGGAGGCAGAGGCAGGTGGATCTCTGAGTTCAAGGCCAGACTGGTCTATAGATGGAGTTCCAGGACAGCCAAAGGAGAGGGAAGGTGCTCTTGGGTTCTAAGCTCACCCCAGCCCTCAGGCTTGGGGCTGCCACTGTTTACTCACTGAGGCTGGGCTGGAAGGACATACAGACAGTGCAGCCAATTAAATCTACCCACCACCCTCATTCCTTTTCTTCCCCTTTCACTGTAGGTGACTGAGCCCAAGACCCTGTGCAGATACCCTCCCACAACGATGCTCCCAACCCATGTGCTTTTTAGTTTAAAATGAACGACTTAAGGGCTGGGAATGTGGTTCAGCCAGTAGAGCACTTGTCTAGCATATAGGAAGTCCCCGTTTAATCTCCAGCACCTCGTCAAACCAGGCTTTGTGGTACACCTGTAATCCTCGCACTTGGGGATAGGGTGGAGGCAGGCAGGAAAATCAGAAGTTCAAGGTCATCCTTGGCTATACAGTGAGTTCAAAACCAGAATGTACAAGATGACATTCTGTCTTAAAGAAAAAAAAAAATTACTTAATTTACTCATGCCTTGGTTTCATTGGTGGAAACTGGACGCTACTACTCACTTTGAAGGGCTTCTGGAAGATTAAATGAAGTATGCCCCAGTGTTTGTAGCAAAGGCAGAACTGAAGGGTAGTTTGGAGTGAGGTGGGCACAATCTTCTCCTAAACCCATAGGCCGGAGAACAAAGAACCATCCAGAGGACCACACCCCCATACCTCATCAAAAGCCTTGTTCTTGCCTCGGTTGATCCCTTCATTGAGAGCTTTGATCCAGGATTCCTTTTCTTCCCCACTGGGGGCCTGGAATTTGATGTCACTGACCTGTGAGAGACAGGTGGGGAGGGTGGCAGATATTTTTAGGGCTCACATTTGGGGTCTTTAGGAAGCATCCCAACCCACATTCCAAAGTGAAGCCAGAGCAGTTCTGACACTGGGCTTTAAGTGGGGAAGGGATGCATCAAGAGAGGGGTCCCCCTCCAGCTGGCAGCTTCCAGGGGCTTGGAGGGGATCAGCCTCGCCCGACACGGTCCTGCTTCATAAGACTCTGTCTCGGGATAAGAGAAACAAATAAAAACATGCTATGTGAAGTAAGTACAAGCCAGAGACTGACTGCCTCCCACTATGAGGTACCTAGAAAAACTAAAAACAGACACAGAAAGTAGAACGTGACTGTGAGGGACTGGAAGAAGAGAGAATGGGAGCCAGTATTTAATGGATTTGGTGCAGTTTTTTTGAGTTTTAAAAGAGTTCTGAAGGAGGAGGAGGATGGTGATGGCATCACCTTAAGAGTGAAGTTAATGCCTCCATACTGTCCGGTCAAATAGTTAAGGAAATTTTGGTCAGGAATGATGGTATATGCTATTAATCCCAGCACTCAAGAGGTAGAGGCAGGCAAATCTCTATGAGTCTGAAATCAATCTAGTCTACATAGAGTTCCAGGACAGCCAGGGGCAGGGGCGACATAGTGAGACCATGTCTAAAAATAATAATAATAATAATAATAATAATAATAATAATAATAATAATAATAATAATTCTGTGTGTTTGATCATAGTTCTTAGTTTTTCTTTCATATGTACATGTATATGGTGTATGTGCTACATACTCACATATGTTCTAGAGCATGAATGCCTGTCTGGATGATGATGTGTGTTTAAGTGTGTGTGTGTGTAGATTCAAGATTATGACAGGACCCAAATCCAGTGTCTTCCTTGATCACTCTGTCTTATGTATGGGCGGCAGGGTCTCTTGTGGAACCCAGGGCTCCCCAGTTCAGCTGATCTGGCTAGCTAGCTTACTTTAGGGATTCCGGGTCTTTGCCTGACGTGCACTAGGGTTACAGGCAGGGCATCATATTCACATGTTTGGGGGTTTTTGTTTGTTTGTTTTTCTGTAGCTTTAGAGATTGTCCTGGAACTCACTCTATAAACCATGCTGGTGCCACTCTGTAGACCAGGCTGGCCTCAAATGCTCAGAGATCCACCCGTCTCTGCCTCCAGAGTGCTGGTACTAAAGGCGTGAGCCACTACCACCCTGCCCCACATGGCTTTTACAGGCATATAACGCCTTTAATCCCAGCACTCGGGAGGCAGAGGCAGGCGGATCTCTGTGAGTTCCAGGCCAGCCTGGTCTCCAGAGCGAGTGCCAGCATAGGCTCCAAAGCTACACAGAGAAACCCTGTCTCAAAAAACAAAAACAAAAACAAACAAACAAAAAAATATGTATCTAGAGCTGGGATGTAGTTTAGTTATTGGTGGAGTGCTTGCCCAGCAAGCACCAAGCCCTGGCTCCAATCCCTAGCCCCACACAAACCAGGTGTAGCTGTGTATGCCTGCAATTCCAGACATTGGGAGGTGGAGGCAGAGGCAGGAGATTTAGAAGTTCAAAGCCAGCTTGTATACCTGAGATTGCTTCAAAGAAAAGTGCCAAAGGAAATTAATCTGGAGCTGACCAGAATGAGTGCAAATAGTACACTCCAGCCTTCACCTGGACAGTCTTACTTTTCTAATCCATAAAATGGGATAACACAGTATAACTACAAAGCAACTTTAAAGGAATTAAATGTGATCAAAATTAAGGCCTGGCACATAGTAGGTGTTCAGTAAGTAGTGAGTGAATGAGACAATACATGAATGAACTGGCCCTAGGTGCCTTCCCTCAACCCTGTTTCTGGGCTGCTGCCTACTCTCTGACCTCAAGATGCCCTAGTTCTTTATTGGTGTGGCCAGCTTGCCCATCCCCCGCCCTGGTATTAGATAGCACCTCCTGCCACTCTGCCAGTCAGTTATGTAATCCCACAGTACAGTGCACTTGGCCTGGCCCCCCTCAGCATCCTCATTATATAACTTCCTCCTGGCAGCACCACTCCTCCTCATACGGGACCCTAGGTCCCTGCTCCATGCCAGCCACAGCCAAATGCTCATTTGCATGACCAGGCTAAATTAGATCCTGGCAGCAGATCTGCAGTTAAGTCAGAAACCCTAGGGCACCTTGGCAACTTCCTCTCAGCCCAGCCTTCAGGGCTGCAAGGGCTCAGAGAGAGACCACACGGCATACTAGGGCTACAAAGGCCACCGAGTCCTGCGAGGTGCCAGGGTATAGGCATCCCCTCTGACCCATGCTGTCCCATCTGTTAGGGGGTTCAGAGTCTATGGGGGCCCCTCCCTGGTACGGACTGGGGTCTCAGAGTTGAGAAACACACAGTAGAAGTCAGTAGCTGCAGGAGTGGAGCAGGGAACAGTCAGGGAACAGTTCTCTCTTCAGTTGCCCCTTCCCCACTGGCCCAGCCCACCAGCCACAGGCAGCAGGGAGGGTATTGGTTCCCTAGGAGAGATATGGCCTCAGGGAAACCAATGGGCTCTCGGGGATGAGAGGACACAGTGTCATGGGCACCCAGTTCTACCATGAAGTGCTGTGTAATCCTGACTCAATGAACTCCACATACCACAGGAGTGACTGTCACAGGGACAATCAGAATGGACACCACAAAGTTATGCCTGGTGGGCTCAGGCTGCAGCTCCAAGCCACAAGCTCTCCGAAGAAGCTTTAAGCACAGGGGCTCCAGCAGGAAAATCCATGCTATTAAGAATGGCTGCAGAACAGGCAGCCAAGGCCTGGGAAAGGGGGAAGGGCAGAATGGCAGATAGGAAAGAGGGGGAGGGGAAGAGGAGACCGGAAAGAGGAAAGGGCCAAGCTGGCCGAGACCAGCAGGGCAGCAAGGCCCAGCAGTGGCCGCCCTGCTTCCTGGCAGCCTCTGTCTGTGACCTCATGGACAGGAGCGTGGGGATGAAACAGCAGGGGGAGTGGGGCATGCAAGACACTGGAGTCTTTGTTTATTTGATTAGGGAGGAAAAAAAGGCAGCCTCAGGACCAGACAGCCAGGGTCACATGACCTCCCGGCCAGCTAGAGGCCACAAGGAAGTTGGGGAACACCCAGGGCGATGGGAAAAGCAGGCACAGGAGGAAGATACGCAGGGCCTCTGGGGAGCCCCACTCTAGTGTGGAATGATGAGGGTCAAGGGCCCTTGAGCAGCAGCAGTCTGGTTGTATCTTCGTCTCTGCAGCCGGCACCCCTGGCTCCAGCCCATCTCCCAAACTGTCCTGTTCCTGTCTTCCAGTACCAACCTCAAGTCTGGGAAGGGCTAAGAGCTGGGAGGAAGGCTGTTACTACAGAAGCTGAGAGGCTGCTATACAAACAGGCTTCTCTGAAGGGGTTGTCCTACTGCTGGATGACCCACCTCGCACACCACTGATTCTCAGAGCTGGCAAAGTAGGTGACATGGGCAAATAACAAAGAAACAACATCTCCTGTTACCCCACATCCACAGAACACACACACACACACACACACACACACACACACACACACACACACACACACACGCACACACAAACACAAACACGCGCCCCTGGCATTGCTAAGTGGTACCCACACCTATGGAAATGCACAAGCATGGGCAGACAAAGGTGCTGCTGGCCTTTGTGTACAATGTACTTTGCACCTCTCAAACATAGATGCAAATTTCGCACCTGCTCAGAGGGGCAGCAGGTCTCCGCTACAAGAAAAGGCTTACAGGGTCTGAAAGACCATTCTCTGTCCTCAAAGTACCCTAAGCCCCAGATATCAAAAGAACCTGGGCCCTGGCGCCTTGACCCTCAGGACACCAGAAGCCTGCCCCTGTCTTGGTGAAACATTCTTGGGTACAACAGACTAATGAGGAAAGCACTGTGATGTCTTCCAGTGTCCAGGACCACAGGGACCACAGGAGACTAGGCTCCTAACTTCTAGCCCAGGAAAGAAACAGGATGGTTCCAGTAGGCCCAGACCAGCAGACTTTCTCCAGGAAAAGTGGTAGGTGGGATAAAGAGATGCTCAGTGGTGAACAGCACTGGCTGTTCTTGCAGAGGACCTGGATTCGATTCCCAGTACCCACACGGTAGCTCACAACCATCTGTAACTCCAATTCCAGAAGATCTGACAACCTGGCCTCTGTAGGCACCAGGCACGCATGTAGTAAACAGACACACATGCCTGCAAACACTCATACACATACAACAGAAATAAACCTCAAAAAAAAATGTAAATGGTACAAACAGCAAACTTCACCTGTACCTAAAGGAGACAGTCTCAGAAAGAAAGCAAATCACAAAAGGAGGCAAGCTAGGGCTATGAGCCTCCTAGTTCTGGGCCCAAGAGACGCCTAGAGGGCAGAATGGAGAGGATGTCGTATTCTTGCCTCTGTTCCAGGCTCTGTTGGGGTACTGAAGGCCTGGTTAGGGAAGAGACCTTATCCATAGCTGTCCTTTCTCAGCCTGTGCCTCCTATGTCCAGAACTCAAGGTCTGCCTTCCAGTGGCTGCTTCCAACGATAGCCTGCAATGATCATCTCAGGGCTGAGAAGGGAGAAGTTCCAGCACAGCCCACATCACCCATCAACCAGAGGACGCTGCTAGATGTAAGCTTCAGCCCACCTAACAGGGAGCCTGCAGACTGCCCAGAGGGAGGCAGCCTTCAGGATGGCCCCTACCTTGTTCCCTGGTGATCGCAGCAGGATAAAGCGGTGCTTCCGCTTGAGGACGGCTCGAAGGTCCTGACACTTCTCATAGCTTCCGAGTTCTACCGTCTCTACACATTTCTGCTCATCCTGGGGAGGGGGAGAGGCAAAAAAGTGGACTGGTGAGAGCCAGATCCTCCAAGAGCCTCCATCACTGAATATACATCCCATACTCTGATCCTACTCGAAAAGAACATCAGATAACCAAGGTGTGATATTCAGACCCTGGCAAGGAAACAGTGCCAGCGTGTGCTGTCGGCAGGTGTCCATAAAGTTCACCATCCTGATAGGAAGTGGGATATAAAGCCAGGCAGTGGTGGCACACACCTTTAATCCCAGCACTCAGGAGGCAGAGGCAGATGTATCTCTGTGAGTTCAAGGGCAGCCTGGTCTACAGAGTGAGTTCCAGGACAGCCAGGATTATACAGAGATACAAAGTTTGAGGTGGGTTTGTGCCTAAGGGATGGGTCCAGTGAGCCCAAAACCAGAGGCAAAAGTAGGAGAAGCTAGGGAGGCTTAGAAAAGGGTACCTGGGGGTCTGCGAAGGCACAGAGGCCAGGTAGAGATATGTAGAAGAATCCAGAACTCCATGAAACTCAATAAGAGCTTTCCATGAAGACCATGAACCAGACACGCGTGGGCTCACATGCCCTGCCTTCAAGCCACGTGATCCTGAATCGGACAGCAGCTCCCTCACTTGTCACCTCCCCATTCTGACTGCTAGCTAGGCAGAGGGCTCCCCCACCCCAGGCTGAAGGCCATACACAACAGAGAGACAAGAGCGTAAGAACATCCCTCCCTCTGCCGGCCTGTTACTCTAGCTTCATCACTATGTAGGCCAGTGGCCAAATAGTGCCTGTTCTCCACCACTGGCTAATTGTCTTGTGACAGTCTCCTCTAAATCCTCAGGGAGCTCCTTAAGCAGGGAGGTAAATAACGACAACACAAAAGCTTCAGGAACTCCCTGAAAATGACCAGATTTAGTAGGCCCCTTCCCTGGCACAGTAAGCAGAGCCCAGCTGCAAAGACCAGACAAGCTGAGCTGCAAAGAAAAGCTACCCAAAGAGGTTTAGACCAGCTGAAGCATCCGAGGAAGACACTCTCCAATCTGTTAAGCTGCCAGCTGTGCAGTATGCTCAAGGTTCCCAGCTTTTGTGAGCTGTCACCCATGCTGGGCGAACTCTGGAGACACAGCTATCTTTTGTGTCATGTCTGCTCCTGAGAGTAACCTCTTACCCATATTCCTGTAAGCCACCCCAATAAATCTCATTGGTTCACCAAGCTGGACTTTGGTGGTGTCTGTATTTTGATCTGTTGTGGGTTCTCTATCAGCGGTGATCAGTAGATGAATGTGTTTTGTCTCCCCAGGAAAATTTTTGTCACACAACACCAGGCTGCCTTCTAAACTTCCTGCCTGCCAGCCCTGACACTAGAAGGTTTTGGGCATAGGATACCTCTAGGGCAAGCTGCCTAGAATAAGTTCTGCCTTAATAGTGGTTAACTGGTTCCTCTTCTGGAGGTGACCCAGTTGGTACAACTTCCTGGGAAACAGAAACAGGCCCTATGTGTGTGTGTGTGTGTGGTGCGTGTGTGTGCGTGTGTGGTGTGTATAGTATGCATAGCCCTGAATGGCTATGTAGACCAGGCTGGCCTCAAATTCAAAGAAATTCACCTGCCCCTGCCTCCTGAGTTCTGGGATTAAAAGCATGCACCACCACTGTCCGGCTTGATTGACACTTCTTAATTGTTTGCTCTGTGTCAGGAGCCCTCCCAGTGTAGGATCTAGTGTTCTCATGCCTCTCGGGTCCCCCGTCACTTACTGCCAGGGTCATGCAAACACCTACGAAAGCATTGGCCAGTGCATTAATGCCACTTGATAACTTGCTAGAAATGCAACTTTGTGGGTACCTCTGACCCAATCATAAACTCGGGGAGCATGAGCCTGAAAATGTGAAATAAATTTTTGTTTTGTCTTGTTTTTCAAAACCGGGTTTCTCAGTGTAGACCTGGCTGTCCTGGAACTTACCCTGCAGACCAGGCCAACCTTGAACCCACAAAGATCCACCTGCCTCTGCTTCCCAAGTGTTGGGGACAATGTGAATTTTAACTATCACTCCAGGTGACCCTGATGTAAGTAAACCCCTGAGATCCATTGTTTTATGCCAGACATATTCAATCTCAGCGGCCTTGAGGCTATTAACAGCCACACATGCTAAAGAAACCACACATTTTGACTGCAGGACATACAGAAATCATGGAAGTGAACAGGAGGCTGCCTCAGGAAGATGTGCTCATTGGTGCGATAGTGTCACAACTGTTATGGCGATAACCAACTTCCTTATGACTGGATCTGAGGCCTGCCTTATAGAAAAGAAATCTTTTTTTTTTGGGGGGGGGGCAGGGTCAAGACAGGGTTTCTCTGTGGCTTTGGAGGCTTTCCTGGAACTAGCTATTGTAGACCAGGCTGGTCTCGAACTCACAGAGATCCACCTGCCTCTGCCTCCTGAGTGCTGGGAGAGATGGCTGAGAGGTTAAAAATAACTGTTGTACTAGTAGAGAGCCTGGGTTCAGTTCCCGGCATCCACATGGTGTTTCATAACCATCCATAATTCCAGCTCCAGGGGAGGATCTGATGACTTCTGACCTCCACAGACACCAGGCTCGAATGTAGTGAACATATATATACATGTAGGCAAGACATAAGACATTCAAGCACATAAAACAAAATTATCTTTTTATTTTTATTTATTTATTTTTTTGCACCAAGAGTAAGCCAGCAAGATGCATAAGTAGCTGTACTGGGTGGTGGTTTTGTGTGTTAACTTGACACAAACTAGAGTCATTAGAGGAAGGAGCCTCAAGATTCAGCTATAAGGCATTTTCTCAATTAACGATCAATAGGGGAGGGCCCAGGCCATGGTAGGTGGTGCTATCCCTGGGCTGTTGGTCCTGGGTTCTATAAGAAGGTGGACTAAGCAATGGGAGGCAAGCAGCTCCCCTCCATGGCCTCTGCATCAGCTCCTGCCTCCTGGATCCTGTCTTGTTTGAGTTCCTGTCCTGACTTCCTTCAGTGATGAACAGCAATGCTGAAGTAAGTAAGCTAAATAAACCCTTTCCTCCCCAACTTGCTTTCTTGGTCATGGTGTTTCGTTGCAGCAACAGAAACCCTAACTAAGATAGTAGGTACACGCTCTTACTGCCAAACTTGATAACCTGAGTTCAATCTCAGAACCCACATGGTGGAAGGAGAGAAGTACTCCCTTAAGTTGTCCTCTGATTGCCACAATAACAGTATGGCATATGTCCCTTCACCCAACAAGTAAGTAATTAGGTAAGTAAATCAATAAGGCAAAGGACTTTTATAAGAACCCCCACACCCAGATAACATCTCGGCTCAGGCCTCAGTACTCAAGGCAGATGGCTATATGGATAAGGTGGCTAACCACTGACCTGTTCTCTCTCAGGAGAAAAGGGACTAGTTGGCCAGGATGGCCTGCTCTCTGTCCAGGTTCCATCGGTTGTCATTTCACATTTTTGCTTCCACGCATCTCTTTTTAACCCCTGATCCTCAATTCTGCCCAACTTCTTTCATGAAGCATATGGACCAGCTTCTACTTTGAGAAGCTCCCCCTCTACCTGCCATGATTCTCCAAACTTTAGTGCTCTTGTGTCTTATCCACTACTGAGGGCATGCAAACATCTATTAAGCACCCACCATAGTCAGGATGGCCAAGCGGACTAAGGCAATGTGATCAGCACCTGCCAGGTACCACACTAGATACCAGGAACACTGAACCTTGACACAGTTCTCCCTTATTCTCTGTGAGTCTGTCTCTTTTGTGCTCCCCAGTGGCACGCCACATGAAGTAGCTCTTAAGAGAGGAATAAAGAGACTGCAGTTGTAGCTCAAGTACTACAATGCTTGCCTCTAATATACTAAGCCCTGGGTTTCTTCCTCAGCACCACACAAACCAGGCATGGTGGCTGTCTTAATGCTGATAACTTGGGAGTGGGGGTCACTTCTCTCCTTCTACCATGTGGGGGTGGGGGTCACTTCTCTCCTTCTACCATGTGGATCCTGGAGACCAAATTCAGGTCATAAAGCTTGGCAGTTGTCTTATTCCATCATGTGATAAACACCATGACCCAAAGCAACTCTTGGAGGAAAGGGTTTATTTCATTTTACAACTTGAAGTTCATCATTCAGGGAAGTCGGGGCAGGAACAGGAACCTGGGAAAAGGAGCTGATAGAAGCCATGGAGGAATGCTGCTTACTGGCTTGCTCCCTGTGGATTGCTCATCCTACTTTTTTATAGCACCCACGACCACCAGCCCAAGAGTGACAGCACAACCTGTGGGATGGGCCCACTCACATTAATAATCAAGCAAGAGAATGAACTACAGGCTTTCCCATAGGGTAGTGTGCTGGTGGCATTTTCTCAAATGAGATTCCTTCTTCCAAAAAGACTCTAGCTACCGGGCATTGGTGGCACACACCTTTAATCCCAGCACTCGGGAGGCAGAGGCAGGCCGATCTCTGTGAGTTCCAGGCCAGCCTGGGCTCCAGAGCGGGTGCCAGGATAGGCTCCAAAGTTACACAGAGAAACCCTGTCTTGAAAAACAAAAAACAAAACAAAACAAAACAAAAAAAAAAAGACTCTAGCCTGTAAAGTTGACATAACAACTAGCCAGCACAGTGGCACACACCTATAATCCCAGCACTCAGGAGGTGGAGGCAAGAGAATTAGAAATTCAAGAACATTCTTAGCTAGTTCAAAGCCAGTCAGGGTCACACAAAACCCTGCCTTTAAACACACACACACAGAGAGAAAGAGAGAGAGAGAGAGAGAGTGTGTGTGTGTGTGTGTGTGTGTGTGTGTGTATCCAGTTTGTCAGCCTTGGGTAAGACCTCCAAAGTCTTCCTGGGCATCCAGGAGAAACTCCAGCAAAAGCACAACACCCACACCTACCCAGGTTCCCCAGTGGACAACTACTAGCCCAAACATACCCTCTTAGGAACAAATTCAGTCTGTTTTCACTACCCAGCTCCCCAAGGCTGCCTGGCTTGGGACAACTCCTCAACACCCAAAGTGCTGAATCATCCAGGGCCTTCTGCAGTTCAGAGAAAAGGATAAAGCAGGAGGCACTGGGTGGGGGCAACAGTTTTGGAACATCAGCCTCTGACAGCAGAGAAACAGCCAAGAGCCGTCTGCACTCGCCTAGTTCCTTACATCAGAAAGAGGAATTGAACTAATAAGCATTTCTCAATTCCTTCTCCTGAGCCAAGCTCCATCCCTGGGTGTGAAGTTCTTGGAATCACATTTACGTTTCTAATGGTGATTTTTTTTTTTAATGTGATTTGGATTTTTCATGTTTAGGGAATGTGAAACCCTTCCTGCTTCCCAGCTGTGGCCAGATGTGGAAAGGCAGTCTAGGACAAGTATGGCAGTGCCTGATGGGCTGACAGCTGAGAGCCTGTCATTCAACTCCTACAGCAGCTGGCACTGGAAAAAACATATCAACCCTCCTCCCCCTTTTCTTTTTCTAATAAAAATATCCCCAGTCTGCCACTTTCCCAGCTGTGGCACATCCTAATTTGGTAAGTACAGAACATCTGGGAGGCTGTCTGCTCATCGTCATTCCTCACTGTTCTCCCATAGCTTCTCTGTCTCTAGACTCTGGAGGAGTCAGCAGGACAGGACAGGTACTTTTCTTTTCTTTCTTCCTGATGCTTCCTTAATTAATAATTTTAGCTTTTGTCTTGAGACAGGGTCTCACAATACAGCCTAGAATGTCCTCAAATTCAGGGCAATCCTCCTGTCTTGCTAGCATTATAGGTAAAAGGCTGTAAATTTGAGTATTCCTAGTTGTCCAGATCCTAAGCGTAGGAAGGGGATGAGAGTCTAAGTGTAACCCCAGCATTTCTGCCATGAGATGGGACACAGAGACAGGAAAATCCCCAGGAGGCTTGTGGTCCAGCTAGCCGAGTACATAGACAAGAGGCACCCTGCCTCAAACAAGGTGGAAGGTGAGAACTGTTACTCAAGGCTACCTTCCAACCTCTATACATGTGCCTTGGCACATACAATCCCAAACAGTTGAAACACTTATATATACACATGTGTTGTGCACATATACATGTATAAAGAGTAAGTAAATGTTTAATAAGGGTCAACTGTTAGCTCAGTGTTAAAGGAGAGAGAAAAGCTGAAGTTTTCAGCTTTTGGAACAGCCTGGCAGTTACAAAGTCTGATAAAGAACTCTGAGCCTCAGTGGAAGTTTCTAGTACCAATTCCACCTGGAAAACTCTTCAGACCTTCATCTGTAGTCCTTGCTGTCCTGGAATTCACTATATAGACCAGGCTGGCCTCCAACTCACAGAGATCCTCCCGCCTCTGTGAGCGCTGGGATTAAAGGTGTGCACCACCACTCCTGTTGTATATTTAACATTTTAAAATTTTTCAGCCAGATGGTGGTGGCGCACACTTTCAATCCCAGCCCTCAGGAGGAGGAAGTTTGGTTTCCAGAACCCATATGACAAGCACCTATAATTTCAGTTACAGAGAATCTAAAGACCTCTTCTAGCCTCCTCAGCACTATACACAAGGTGCACATACAAACATGAATGCAAATGCTCATACAAATAAATTTAAAAAGTATGAAGGTTAAGGGTTAATTAGCATTTTTAGTGCCAATGCTGACTAAAATGTCTTCAGTTTTTTTCAAATACTTACATAAAACCAGGAAGTCCCAGCATATATGTAGGTAGTTGAGGAGACTCACATACGACATACACAGAGGGCCACAGACCCCCTCACCCAGGAACCCTAAGTTTGAAGCATCTCCCCCATAATACACACAGAGACCCAAAGGATATAAGACACTTGCCTAGGTAACACAGTTTACAGTGAAGTTGGGGTCAGTATGGTGGCGCATGCCTCCAATTCCAGGGGGAGGCAGAGGCAAGTGGATCTCTACGAGTTTTGTGGCCAGCCAGCCTGGTCTACAGAGTAAGACCCTATCTCAAACCAAACAAAAAAGCAACCAAATAAAAAACAAAATGGAGGGAGTCTTCCAGCCCCGGTCTTAGGGTGCTCCTCTTGCTGGCCTGCCTGGCTCGCTTTGCCTCTGCTATGGGGCCAAGCAAGTCCTCACCTCATTCTCATAGACCAGCAGCTGGGCTTGGCAGAGAAGAAGGTAGCGGTCTTTCCATAAACTCAGGAGACCCCCACTGCTCTTTTTGATCCAGCCAGCCTTGTCTGCAGTCCGTGCTCCACGAGGCTTGTCGCTCCCCTCTTTCATACTCTGTAAGACAGTACCAAGACACATCATGAGGGCTGTTGCCATGAAGCCATATGGTCCACAGACCACACAGGGGATGCATCTAGTGCTGGGTACATCATCCTACATGAAGCTTCTTCAGGAACCCTCAAGGCAGATAAGGGAAAAAAACAGCAATAGTACCAGTCACTACCTTACATGTGAGCCACTGTGCTGCACATCACACACACTTTCACCTAACTTTTACAGCTGCTCTCCAAGATGCCAGCACTGTTAGCCACATGTTACAGTAAACTGAAATTCAGATCATGTGGCTACAGAGACAGAACCAAAATTCAAAGCGGGTCTCTCTGAACTCATTTTCTTCCCCTGTGCCTTCCAGTGTTCCTTAAACTGGTGAACAAATGTATTGAGCCCATATAATGTCACCTGTCACAGGAGAGAGAACAAAAGCAATGCAATCTACCTTCGTAGAGTACACAGTGGGGAGATGGAGCAGCTAAACAGTCAAATGCCCAGAAACACACACATTAACTAGTGCAAAGTGCTATGAAGGGACAGGTGAGAGCTCAGCGAGTCAAGGTTCTTCCCACCAAACCTAATGACCTGAGTTTGATCCCCAGAACCTATATGGTAGAAGAAGAGAACCAACTACCACAAGCTATCTTCTGATCTCCATATGAGTGCACACATGCACACACACATACACAGGTGTATACACAGACACACACACACACACACACAGGTGTATACACAGACACACACACACACAATGAAAAAGAAAAGGCCACAAGCAGGCACTAGTATCCAAGAGGACACTGGGACCTAGTGGCCCAGAAAGACCTCCTGAAATAGAGGATGTTTCTGCCAGGCCTGGAAGGACAAGAGGGACCAGAGAGTGTAAGGCAATCTCTCTCTACACACACACCTTCCTGACTTTCTAGAGAATCCAAATCCAGCTTCCTGTCCTGAAGCAGGGGACTCCTTAGTTCTCATCCCCATGCCAGGCTAGGACTAGGGGGTGGCTACTTCCTCTGATGAGGGCTCTGGGAACTGTCTCTTTGATCACCAGCTGGTAATAGGAATTAAGTTCAAATCATTCTGTAGAAGGTAGCTGCCTGGCAGCCTCCCGGTCTGTCACTCACGTCTCATGCCACATCTGCAACCTGCTGGATGGCTGGGTGCTGGGTACAGAGGTACATACAGGTCTACATGACTACCCAACAGGTTCAAATTCACCTCTGAGTCCTAAACTTAATCTTGTTCTTTGAAGATTTGCAGATGAACACTGAGGTTCTGTCTGCAAAAATAAAAATTTAGATATACCCTTTTTTGCTAAATAACCACTGTGCTGAACTTAGAGGTTCCTGAGGTACTGATTGTGGAAGAGGGTGGTAGAGAAAGAATCAAGAGTGCCTCGGAACCTAGAGGACACTGGAAGAAAATCAACACTGACTAATTTCAACTACATTATTATTTACATAGAGCTCCAAAAAGGGGCCCCATTTAAAGGCACGCCTCTCCCCAGAGATACCCTGTGGCCACAGATGTCTTTGGAAGGACAAGCCCAGGCAGATATAAGTGTGGTGAGCTGTCAGGAGCTGGGCAGGGCCTGGCTTCCGTGTTATGGCTGAGTGGCTCCAGCCTGTTTCTCACTATGGCCCTTCTACCTCCTGGAACTCCACACCATTTGCTTCACTGAGAGCATGGGCTTTAGAGCCCATGTCATGCAGACCAGAAAGAGGTGGAGCAAACCTCTTTCTGTGTCTCAGTTTGTTCACCTGGGGAATGGAGATGCTAACAGTTCCTGTATAAATAGGAATCCATCTTGCTTTTCTGCCTATTGACTAAGATCAATACAGAAATAGGACTCCACAAAGGCAGGGGGCTTGTTTTGTGTACTGCTATCCCTCGATAGCTGCCTAGACAGTGCCTGGCACACAATTAAGGGCTTTTTTTTTTTTTTTTTTTTTTTTTTTTTTTTTTTTTTTTTTGGTTTTCAAGACAGGGTTTCTCATATAGCTTTAGAAGCTGTCCTGGAACTAGCTCTTGTAGACCAGGCTGGTCTCGAACTCACAGAGATCCACCTGCCTCTGCCTCCCAAGTGCTGGAATTAAAGGCGTGCACTACCATCCGGCTAGTTAAGGGCTTGATACATGTTTGTCACTAAATAAAAATAAGGCACATATCCTAGGATACCCTGAGCTTAGTAATTGGCAGCTGTCACCCTTGTTACTGTTGTCACTGCCCATCACTGCCAGACCCCCTTTGAGTTTCAGGGACCTTCTCTCCAGATTTGGTTCTCAATTTAGAACGAGAGCTGAGCTATATCTTCTTGCTCCACATCTCCAGGAATGTGGGATGTCCCTTCTGGTCTTCTAACTTGTGGATGGCAAGAGAAATGGGGAAGTGGGCTGGTTCCAAATGATCTTCCGGGATGCAGGAATGAGGAAGTGAGGAGGCTGACAGTTATGAGCCACCCTGCCAGGGCAAGAGAGAAGAGACTTCAGGGCTCTTTGACAGCAGCAGGGAGGTTCTCCCATTCAATCCTATACCCGACTGCCTCTCCCTAGCCACTGATGACACCATGCCATGTGTTAGGCTCTCATAGGCTGGGGGATGCCCAGGGACTAAGTCTCTCAGGGACCCAGGCAGGCCATCACAGGGTCCAAGGCTGGAAGAGAAGAACTCCAGGACAGGAATCTTTATGCCCACATTATATACACGCACACTTCTATCAGCACGCCAGCACTGCTGGCCACCTCCTAGGCCCTGAGCTCTCAGTGTCTCCTCAACAAGGTGGTGGAATGTGAAGGTGGTACCGTTCGCATCTCCCACCTCTGAGCTCCAAGTGTCTTTTCTGATTCCAGGGAGTACAAACCACCATCCGCAGTTAAAAGGGATCTCAAGTCTCCGGGGTCTCCCCTATCTGCCACCTCCACTATCTGACATGTAGAACTTCACATCAGCTGGAAGCTCTGGGGGCCTAGGCTGGAACCTAGGCCTTGAGCGCTGTCACCTCTGGACCGGGTAGGCACACTAGTGCCTAGTAAATACCAAGACTAGATTAGCTAGGGTAGCTAGCCCTAGGTCTGCAAGGATGGGTGGGACCAGGACGGCCTGGGTGGGAGGGCTAGGAGAGGTGAGGGGAGGGGACAGTTGAGGGTTTGCAGATGGTGTAAAGCAAAGCCCAGCCATCCTACGGGAGGCCTGGCTAAATGCCAAGGTCCTACTTGCTTCCACCCTCCACCAAACTCCCTCCCTGCCCCGTAGACCTCCTCCCACCAGGGGTCTGGCTACACCCCAGTAGGTTTTAACATGGTGTCCCTCCCCTTGGCAGCGTTCACAGGGGAGGTTTTGTCCTGCTCAGCCCAGGCTCTCCAGCTCCTCTCTTATTGACCAGCTGACCACTGTTTCTGTTCCCCTCCCAGCCATTCTCAGCAGGCCTTCTCCTGCCTACTGCAAGCAGCTCCTGAAGTACCCCATGGCACCAGCCTGGCTTCCTAGGCCTGACATGGGAGTGTCTCAGGGGTACTCTAAAAGCAAGGAGAAACAAGAGACAGGTTACCCTGACCCTGAGAAGGAACGGGATAGAGGAAAAGCTACAGTGAAGTTACAACAGACAGAAGCCAGCAGAAGAAACCTTGTTGGCATGGCACATGACAGGCAGCTTGTGATGACTTCTGTCCTTTGACTAAACCCAGTGATAGACTGCTAAACTCACTCCAAGGCAAGCATGGTAGCACATGTCTTTAACCTCAGCACTTAGGAAGCAAAGACAGGATGATCTCTGAGTTGAGGCCAATTTGGTTTATATAGGGAATACTAGGCCACCAGCCAGGACTACATAGTGAGACCCTGCCTCAAAAGAAAAATAAAAAAATACTAAGGACCTACTTTATCAGAGCTCTAGAATGAAGCATATGAAGAGAGGAGAAAATACAGGCCCTCCCTTGAGGGATCTTCCAGGCTCATGAGGACAGTACATAACCTGCCTGTGGGAAGCTTTAGGAGGGTAGGGGGCTATCTCCTACTCTTGTCTGCTGGGACACTCTTGGCACTTACCCTGGGGGATTTCCCCATCCTATCCTTCTGTTGGGGCGAGGGCCTGGGCCTGGGATTGGTATGAAGTCCTTTTAGAAGGCAGATGGATGTGGGGAAGTAAAGGGAAAAAGGCATCAGAGACTTTATTTACATTCTCGTGGCTCTGGAGAGCTGGTTCATAGTTAAGAGCACTGGTTGCTCTTCCAGAGGTCCTGGGTTCGATTTCTGGCACCTACATGGCAGCTCACAAACATCTTTTTTTTTAAAAAAAAAAAAAAAAAAAAAAAAAAAGCTTTATTTTGTAAGTTGCTTTTGTCATAGTGTCTCTTCACAGCAAGAGACTAAGACAGATGTTTTTTGTTTTTGTTTTTGTTTTCTATATGGATGCCTTGTTTTCATCCATACCAGAAGAGGGCACCAGTTCTCATTACGGATTGTTGTGAGCCACCATGTGGTTGTTGGGAATTGAACTCAGGACCTCTGGAAGAGCAGCCAGTCAGTGCCCTTAACCACTGAGCCATTTCTCCAGCCCCTGCTCACAAACATCTTTAACTCTAGTTCCAGGATATCTGAAGTCCTCTTCTAGCCTCCACAAGCACCAAGCATTCAAATGGTTCACAGACAGGTTTGCACGCAAAAACACACATACATATAAAAAAAATTAAAAAGACAACATTCTCATTCCTTTTACTACAGAAAAGGGACAGCAGAAAGAACAAGAGGTTAGCCCAGTGTCATAAAACCAGTGCTTCGACAGGGCACTGCCATGCCTGTCTCAATGAGAGTCAGGGCAAGTGTACAGCCTGGAGCCAGGGAAAGGCATGATTTTGGGAAGGCAATGGAGCAGAACCAGGGAGGCCTAGAGATAAGGTTTCCAAACTTACTCCAGGGACAGTAACAACACCTCCATTGATATCTTTGGTTTTCAAAGTTTTTGTATATACATTATCAAATTTCTGGATTTCCCTTCCCTTATTATT